TCCCCTAAGAAAGGATTTTGATAAATTCCACCACTGAGGGGATAAAATAGGTGAAAGTCAAAGTCAAAATTATTTATTTCAATTAGACCAGAGAGGCACTTTTGAACGTCAATAAAGAAAATTAACAAGCGAAGCTATTTGCTCATTCCAAGGTGTAGATTCCTATGGAGAAGAACGAGCAAGAAACTCCATAGGTTACTCTTTTTCAATCAAGTTCACAATTATCCAGTTACATAGTTTTGTTGTTTGGGTTGTGCGAGAACAATGTAACACTAAAATACAGTAAAAGAGATCGAAAAAAAATAACCTTAAAAGACATTTTAAAAAAATACAGTCTGGAGCTGACCAATCCCAGTTGACGGCGCCCGTTCACGAACATGACACGTACACCAGCACCGCCCAACTCAACCATATTGTAGGGAATCGAGCGATCCACTGCACGTCCAACCGCCAATGAGACCTTAGAGTGAGCATGACAACTCCAAGCTGACACAAACATATTCAACTATTCTAATTTAATATTCAGGTAATTACAGGGCTCTCACATTTACAATGATTATGCAAGTTAAACAATATACAAATGAGCAACATAGCTGTATTAATTACATGTTTGGATTTCATTAAAACATCAATGCTTTTCGTTTTTGTTATCCTGTGGAGCCGGACTTTGGCATACTCAAGTGGACTCAGATTGAACTTGACACCCTGGATAGGCGAGTCCGAACACTGCTGACTGCAAATCGCATGCATCACCCTCGTTCATCGGTCATGAGGTTGTACATCCCGCGGAAGAGTGGTGGTCGAGGCTTATTAAATGCTAAGACCCTTCACAACCATGAGGTGTGCAACCTCAGGAAATATTTCCTGAAAGTCAACGAGGGTATGCATCGAGAAGTAGCAGCAGTGGACAATGGATTCACTCCACTATCCTTGGCAAAAGATAATTGGCCAAAACCTGTAGTACTGAGCGTCAATGATCGCTAGGAGGTGTGGCGACACATGTCACATGTCTACGGATGACGTCATAAAATCCTATATCGCACATGCAAAGTTTACATGCAAATAAACACGGATTGAAAATCCCAACGAACAACTGTTGGGCAGAAAGCCCGCCAGACACGATCACCTCGCTTGGTCGGAGGATCCTCCTTTTCCGATCTTAGGGAATTATACTCTCTGTTCCCTAAAGTGGTTACCCCGACGTGATTGGAAGCAACCTTCACTTCACGGAGTAGATCCGCACCGTCATCCTTATCGCCATCCCTCTCATTCATCACTTCTCTGCTGAGCGGTAATCAAGTTGCAGCCAATCAGCATCCTCGGTCTCACCAGAGACCACCATCGCCTGAAACAAAGTCATGCAGCCCGGTTCTACCCTACGGCCTTACCAGCGTCTAGGCACAGCACTTCTGCACACGGTTCTGAAGGACATCTCCTCCTGTCAACGCAGACGCCAGCCACTACGCACCTATCCTCGCAGCATCTATTCCCCGACTCACCGTGGGACACTGCGAACTCATCTCTCCGACTCACAGGAGTTTCACCCTGCACCGCTCACCCGACTTACTGGGCACTTAGCGGCACAGTTTCGACTCACTGGAACTAGGGAGTTTATACACCGGCTCTGGCACCGCTCGATCGACCTCCGGTTTTGGGAGGGAGTGATGTGGCGACACAAGTCATATGTCTACGGACGTCGTCATAAAATCCTATATCGCACATGCAAAGTTTACGTGCAAATTAACATGGATAGAAAATCCCAACGAATAACTGTTAGGCAGTAAGCCCGCCAGGCACGATCACCTCGCCTGGTCGGAGGATCCTTCGTTTCCAATCTTAGGGAACTATACTCTCTGTTCCCTAAAGAGGTATGACATAGCAAGGAACTCCACGGACGCTTCTTCCGGGCCCTTCATGGGCCCAGTGTACATTTTCTAGCGTCCGTGTCTTGACTACGATTTAGTTATCTCTTTGGGGAAACTGAAGGATTTGTCTGTGCAATAATGGACGAAGTTATCCTTACGAATAACTACCGGAAATATATAATTAAGAATGGGACGGTTGACATATGTCGGGCATGTCATAGTCCTGGTGAATCCATTAGACATATTAATTCTGGTTGTGGTCGTATGGCTAACAGTAAATATTTGCATAGGCATAATCAAGTAACCAAGATTATCCATCAGCAACTTGCTTTACACTATCGACTTTTTTTTTATAATATTATAGATTATTTCTCCACGGACTCTAGGTCCGTGCCCTTGTCATACAGTTTTTTTTTATTATACTACTAGTCTAGTCAATCTCTCTCTCTCTAGTCAACTATCTAGTCAATTTTTAACTTTACACTATCGACTTGAGTCTGAGGTACCGTACCACAAGTATGTGCCCGACCCAGTTCTGGAAAATGACCATATCACATTGTACTGGGACCGGTCTATCATTACTGACAGGACTATTGTAGCCAATAAACCTGACATAGTGGTGATAGACCGTCAAGTACGCCGTACGATGATAATAATCGATGTCACCATTCCCCATAACGAGAAACTTGTGTAAACTGAGAAAGATAAACAAATAAAATATTTAGACTTAGCTCACGAGGTTGTCGACATGTGGAATATGGATTCGGCTATCATTGTGCCGATAGTCGTGTCGGCCAATGGGTTATTCCCTAAAATCCTTGACATCCATCTCAGGAGGCTGGCGTTAGGTGAATGGATCAAGGGCATACAGAAGGCAGTTCTCCTAGAAACGGCACGTATCGTGAGGAGGTGTCTGTCTCTGGAGCCCTAACCACCGGTAGCTAGGACCATGCTCCCGCTACTGGTCGGCTCCTATTTTTTATATTTTTAAATATTGTTTTTTATTGTGTAATTAGTATTTAAAAATGTAATTTATAGAGAATTTTAAATAAATATATGATAATAATAAATTGTTTTTATTTGGAACAACATGGGCACCATTTTGTCTTAGTATGCGTCTTTTAAACTACAGCTTAAACACTAGGGTTAGTAAGTAACAACTTTAAACAGTACAGTAATTAATGACTCATGTACTTACGAGGCACTCCCTGCGGACAATGAAACCGCATGAGATGCCTCAGCACAAGCGCTCTCAGGTCCGCAGTCACGACTTTCAGGATGCTCTTGCCATGCCACTCCTCCGAAGCGTGGGGACGCTTCGGAGGAGTGGCATGGCAAGATTGTGATTGTGGGGACAAGCGATGCTACCTTTTTCCTCACGATGGCCTATAAACCATCTGTACCTAATCTAGCAAACATCCCCGAGGCACTACAGAAACGGGGGAGACCCAACATCATCCTGAAAACATTATTATATTGGACGCGCAGGGCTCCTAGTGCCCTCCGCGAACAGACAAACCACAGACTCCCCGTGTACAGACCCTGACATACCCTGACATACATTATTACCCATGAGCATAAAATAAGAGATGAATCAAACATAGTTTCTACTATGTTTGCACGAAATAGAAGGAATGAATTCTCGAGGAAGGACGTAGACTTTTGTTTTATTGTCAACCCAAAAAATTTTTGTCTGTCTGTCATATGTTCACGCATCACGCAAAAACTACCGGTCTGATTACGATGAAACTTTAAAATCACAAATTCGGCATAACACTGGGTACATTTTATCCTGAAAAAATATATCAGTACACGAAAAAATAAACTTAATTGTGCGGGTCAATCCCTAGACAAAGTTACTGTACCAAACGCGAACTAAGTTTGTCGAATGTTAAGTTGCTCGCAGTGAACTTTACGCTGTAACTGTAGGTTCAAATTAACTTGACCAATATTATAAATGTGAAAATATGTAAGTTTGTGTGTATGTTTGTTACTCAGTCATATCAAAACGGGATGGAATTTGGAACAGAGGTAGATCATGGTCTGGACTAACACACAGGCAACTTTTTACCCCTGGGAACGCGGGCGAAGCCGCTGGCAGAAGCTAGTTAAGAATAATATCTGGATAAAATGTGTTACTTATCACATTTACTTAGTAATTTATTTATTATACTTATACCTATCTATAATGTATTGTCATTATGTATAATAGCTACATAATTAATCACTATGGGCAACTCGGCATCTTAACATAATTATGGATATGTTGGACTACCTACTACGCAGACTACGCCGTAGCCGTCCATTGTCTCATGAAGGAGAGAAAATATATACATATTTATAACATACATAGTGATGCCGACGAATACTTTGACGCCTAAATTGAGGGTATAATTTGTGTTGTTTCCTTTTTTTTACTTTCATTTAATTTTACAGTTTAGCTGTAGTTAATTTTAAGTTGTAAATATTTATCTAGTTATAAACAATGTAATATATCTTTACGTAATAAACATTACATACATATAAAAAAAAGTAAGTACATATTTTTGTAGGTACCTGAACTGTTGTGTTTAAGATTTTTTTTATGGCTATGACTACTAGGTCCATTAATCTAATCTAATTTAAAACTACATAAACTCTTCTATAGCACTTTAGAATGAATTCTTACTACCTAAGTAGGTACTATATTTGCAACATCACAACATTTGTAAAATAAATCAATCTTCAATTAGGTAATCGTTTAACGTAAAACAAAAATTATCCAGAATATTTAAGAAACTCCTCGTTTTTTGAAACCGCTTAGAATAATATCATGTATGTTATACAATACATACTTACATGTATAACATACACATGATAATTAGATATACATTTAGATATTACATACTTACATGATATTATTGAAACCGACCTACTATCTGTACAAAATACAAAAAAATAAATAATAAAGGTGGCAGTAATTAGAGATCATGTCAACTTGTTCGTGTGTGCTCTCAACACTCGATATCAGGGATCCGTGAATGTTTAGTCCTATTATGTAACAGGACATGGGAGGCTCGTAGATATTGCCAGTTGCTAGCGCCTGCGCGAGTCCGGATGGCGCGCGGGGGTGAGGCCGCGTCAGTCGGCGCTCGGCGTCTGGAGGTGCTTCGCGCTTCGCGCCGCGCCCCAAACAGCCGGAGCGGGGCTCGGGGCGTGGCGCTTACGTAAACACGCGTGGCACAAAGCTCGTGTTGCAGGCGGCGCGGTGCCGCGCCACTGTCCGTCCTAGAACGACCCCATGTTGGCCCGCGCCGCCTCCTAAGTTTATGTGGATAGTAGCGCGCACCCTGCCGCGCGGCCGCCGCTGCCACTGTCACCACCGCCGATTAACGCGCTTATAGGTACTTATTATTTTATGACAATATAATTATAGTTTTCAAATATTTTGTGATGATAGACAGGCTACTAATTATTTGTCAGTGCTTAGTAATCATATTATTATGTCTAGTGGAAAATAGACAGTCATATAAATTACAATAAAGCGTCATAACTATCAGCGTATCGAACCGATGTACGATGAGAACCAGTGTCAACTCCCTAATCTTCGTGAGCTTTACGTTTATCAGCTTAGCCTAAAACTCTGGTAAAGATTTCAGATTCGGTTTGGTATTTTTAAATAAATAATTAAGTAGATATATTTGCATATGAATTATTAATAAATAAGAATCTGGCGAAAATGGTTACAGTACGTAACTTAGTACTGGGTGACTGGGTCTCCTTTCACTGCTGATTTTAGTGCTGTTCAGTTCTAAGTATCTACTCTACTACACTAGGTATCTAAATCTCACATCGATTTTGTTTCATCGATAGAATAGTGTCTTTTGTAATGTGTATTATATATATCAAAGCATTCCACATGTACCTACCTCTATATGTAAGTAATAATACGTACATAAGTATCTTTAATAAACAGTTATATTACCTACATCTAAATCACTTGCCTAACACATAGGTACCTAAAAGGTTTTACTTGGACTCAAATCACTTATTTTATATGTATACTTAACTTAGGCAAGACAAACATCCTACAGATATCCTATAAATATTGTACTTTTATGTTTAGAATATTAGAAAATAAATATCATTTAATTAAATAGAAATCAATACACATTATAGTAAAAATACTCCTACTCTCACTGCGATACGCAATGTCATTGACCTTTTTGTTTGTGCGTGGTGTGGTAATGACCAAGTGAGTGAACAAATAGTAATTTGTTGATATAAAATATTTTGTTTGCTTTGTTAAAGTTGGCATTCAATGGAAATGAGGAAATGTGCCCGGTATATTATGGCAGTAGGCTCACACCCTATTACATGGGACTCATACCTAACATAAATAGTGTTACATTGTACAGTGACATTAAGTGCCGTAATGTGCACCTCTGCCTACCCCCCCGGGGATAAAAGGCGTGATGTTATGATGTTACGTATGCATTCAATCATTACCAACTATTACATAAATAAAATTTAAACTAAATATTACTAAATTAAATATATACAACATATGATTAAAATTAATTATAGGAAAAATAAACTATTTATAAGGCATCGAAAAACTCGTCCGCATCGACGTCAGTGGGGAAAGTACCCAGAAGGCTGGCAGCATTGCCACGTTGTATGGCAATGCTTAACCTTTGACCGAGAAAAAGACCAGCCCTCTGGTCACGAGATGTGTCGACCAGGCGTTTCGAAATGTTTTTGAACAATTTAAGCGCACTCGGACCCCACGGACCTAACGTCTCAACCCCAAACGGCTCAAAGATATAACTACCAGCAAGGTTGTTATACTTGCGCCGCTTGAGGTTTTCTGCAGAGGCAGCAGCCGAACCAGCACAACTCGCCGTTACTGGAAGATGAGAAGGTGCAAGGGTGTCGACGCAGGTTGCGTCCCACACCAAAGACCTTCCCAGCTTCCAGGGCATAATGGACATACCGTCGGGTCTCTTACCATCGTCGCGTGCCGAACCCTTTGGTTCCAGAACAGCTGGTACATCATTACCGACTTCAAAAAAAGGAGGAGGTACTATGTTGGGCTGTTTTTCTTTTATTTTATCAAAACAATAATATCTACCTAATAAGGAATTTATGTGCACAACATCAATAATAAATCTATAGGTACTTATATACAGGTAGGTACTAAGATTCAGAAAACCTAACGACTGTAGTATAAAGTGTATACAGTTAGACTTTGTTTGTGTGAACGTGCTTATCTCTGGAGGCCATAGGCTATGAAATACCACGCTATGATCACTAAAAGCCGAGCAGTACCGAAATAATATTATATGTACAGTATTTAACAGTAATTAATACTAAGTATTAATAATTTTTATGGGTCCATTATGCCGCTAAAAACCATTTCTTCCAGGTCACTGTGGTATAGGTGTGGTAGAGGTATTACAAACAAACAAATTCTTCAGCTTTATACACTACATCAATATACTGTTTACGTATCAAACTATAGTTTCAATCTTCCCAGCGCACGAGTGGGGCAGATCATTCTATCTTCATTTTCTATGAGATAAATTACCTACTAACTAGGCTTTGTGTCACAGACTCACAGTAACGAACCATATTTTTATTTATAAATTCTATAGTTAGGTTATTTATTTTTGGTTTTTGAAGTCGGATTTTTAAACGCAGTTTTTTTTTCTTTCATTTTAGTGAACGACACATAGACTCGTTGACTCGACTGTAAACCGTTTAGGAGTTCCCTTTACAATTACCTACACTTCTTTATCATAAAACCCTTAATGACAGTTCTGCACCATCTAGGTGTACAGTTACATAAAAATTAATCAAGAACAAACACAAGATAGTTATTGTCGGCTCCATAACCAAGTCGACTCTAGACCCTCACCAAATTCTAGTGTTTAAAAATCTTTATAGAAAAACGTAATAGACGCATATCTCGCCCTTGCAATTTTTCGAAAGTTTCCTTCGGTTTCCACTTTGTTTTCCCTACGTTTCCATCATTAAATTCCGACCTAGTGAAAATGGGACCCTCTCGGGAGTATAACCTTCTCAAAATAATTTTGATAAATAAACAAATTTTAACTGTTCTTTTTTGAAGTCTGTAACAAAACAATACGCTAAAGAATACGATCAATAGGAGCTCAGCAGAGTGGGTGCAAGCGCACGGGAGCAGCTATTTAATAAATAAAACTTAAGAGTTTGTTTGAACGCGCATATCCGAAACTACTAATTCAATTTTATTAATTATTTTTAATAGATAATGGATAGCCAATTTGTTGAAGAATTTATCAAAGCTGTAGGCTATAAAGCTTCACGCTACGATCAATAGGAGCCGGGAAGCGGGTGAAATTGCGCGGGAATAGCTAGTTAAGTATAAAGATACTTACATATGTATGTATTTCTATATGTACCTAACTACATATTCTTACAAAAATATAATTATAATGATTATGTTTACACACATACTAATACGTTTAAGTATCTATAGTATATAACAGATTACACGAACCTAAACATAAAATCGTAAAATACCCAAATATTTTCTAATAAAGTCTAAATTAGTCAGTTTAAGTTTCATTGTAACCGGACCTGTAGTTTTGGCGTGATGGAGTAACTTCTCCCGTTTTCCCAACATTTCTCTTCACTGCTCTGGTCCTATTGATTGTAGCGTGATGTAAAGTTCTACAACCAACTCAGGACTACGAAAAATAATTGAACCATCATCATCAACAGCCGGAAGACGTCCACTGCTGGACAAAGGCCTCCCCCTTAGCCCTCCACGTCGAACGACAACTCGCCACCCGCATCCACTGGCTCCCCGCAACTCTGGCGATGTCGTCGGTCCACCTAGCGGGAGGCCTGCCCACGCTTCGTCTTCCGGTCCGTGGTCTCCACTCAAGTACTTTCCTGGCCCATCTGCCGTCAGTCCTTCGGGGCGTGGACGGGCGGGACGTGGCCTGCCCATTGCCACTTTAGTCTGCAGATTTTGCGAGCTATGTCGGTAACTCTTGTTCTTTGGCGAATTTCCATATTTCGGATTTTGTCGCGCAAAGAAACCCCGAGCATAGCTCTCTCCATCGCACGCTGAGCGACTTTGAGCTTCTCCAGAAGGCCAGAGGTCAGGGACCACGTCTCGGTACCATATGTCATCACCGGCAACACACACTGGTTGAACATCCTGGTCTTTAGGCACTGAGGGATTTTCGATGAGAAGATTTCGCGTAACTTCCCGAACGCTGCCCATCCAAGTTGGATTCTTCGGGCGACCTCTTTGTCGAAATTGGACCTAAATGAATGAATTGAACCAAGTTTCGTTAAAATCTGTCGAGTAGTTTTTGTTTCTATAACGATTATACAGACAGACAAAAATTTTACTAATTGCATTTTTGGTATCGGTACCGATCCGTAATCACGTCCTTATGGAGATATATATGTTTTAGGAAATATATGTCAAACAAGCGACCCGCCCCAGCTTCCCACGGGTGCAATAGTTATGTACCTATGTATAAAAATACCTACTACAAAATGTCCTTATACACCACGTTCACAGCTATTTTGTCATTAGATAATGCAAAGATGTTTTATATTGATATTTTCCTCGCTAGAGAGCTCCGATAAACGCGTGCAATCGTTGCAAGTCATGAAGTGCGGACGAAACGCGGCCATCAAGGCCGCAACAAATACCTCCCTGCATTTTAAATTTGTAATATTTTCGGAAATATTCACTTAAATGACATGCTATAAAAAGCATACTGATTTATGATAAATGCACAATTTATTTAAAGTACTAATTATAAACCTTCCTTAAAAATCACTCTATCTATTAAATAAAATCGCATCAAAATCCGTTGCGTCGTTTCAAAGATTTAAGCATACAAAAGGACATAGGGACAGAGAAAGCGACTTTGTTTTATACTATGTAGTGATAGTGATAGTGATACAGAATTCAATTTTAATAACCCGCGACACGTTGTACGGCAGCCGGTTGCCCAGCCACCGTACCAACCGTGCAGTCAATTGACCTCTACAAAATTATTAGTATAGATAAGTACTTTACTTGGTAATCTGACGAAAATATGTTTGAGTAGGTTTAGTGGTTGTAATTCGTAGTAAAACCTACCAAAGTTCCATATTACGACACAAATGACGCTTAGCGGAGTCTACCACGGAATTATTCTAATGCGAAAGCCTTATTTTGTGGGGAAAATCATCCAATGGCTTCTCCCTCGCGTGATGAAGTCGACTAAAGTGACTTTTCATTTTAACTTAGACTCCTTCGTGGTTTCCCCGCTGCTTCACTCCTATTGATCACGACGTGATGATTAAAATAGCCTATTATCATTATCAGCCATGTGCCCATTGCTGAGTAAAAGCATCTTCTCGCACGGACAAGGCTTGAACATAAAACTGTCTTGTCTTAAATCTAAATAATTTTAGAAAAGTTTAACTCTGAATATCATCATAGGCTATAATATAACGTCATTCAGTAAAAGACTATCCAACACAAATATAATTTTCAAATTCGAACCTAGTTCGCAAAATATTAAACCTATACTTACTTGGTTCTAACGAAGATTAAGATTTTAAAGCATAAGTAGTCAAGAACGCTACCTACTAAATCAAATTAAAAAACCGACTTTAACAAAAACTAAACTAGGTATTATTAGTACTGATAGGTTACCTACCCCCTAATAGGTTAGAAGTCGGTGCCTTATGAGACATGAGCTTATGCTCATATCACTATGTATACAGGGTGACTTGTAACTCGACGTATTTCTCTCGGGAGGTGATAATACAACTAATTTCCTACAAAGTTAGCCCTGAAGTCTCTGGTCCGAAAGTGGCTAGTTTCTGAGATATTCAACATTTTCGGTTCATCTGGAATCCATCATCAGGTCGACTCCAGACCCTTATCAAAGTGTACTGCGTGAAGAAACAAAAAAAACCGAGCCGAACATAGTACCTTCTCCTTTTTTTGAAGTCGGTAAAAATAAAAACTGCGTTTAAAAAAAATTACTAGGTATTATTTTTTCCTTTTAGTTTTCGAAAAAGAAGAAAGAAGAGAAAATAAAATAACTCATAGTTTTCCCACCCACTGAGGTTTTTTTTTAAGGGGGGAAAATCATCGAATGACTGCTCCCGCCTGGGTGAGGCGGGAGGGAGTGTCAGACTCTTACTGACTAAAAACCACCCCGTTCCTTCTCCTGCACGCCGAGCCGGAGCCCCGGTTACCCGTGTTAGGTTCTCCGCAACTCCGAATCGGCATCGGCCCTATTGGGCCCCAGCTGTGGTGGTCTGATGGCTCTTTGAGGCTCGCGCGGAACGCGACGCGCCGTACGCTCGGGTCTGGTTCTGACTTCACTTAACGGAGCAGATCAGCACCGTCATCCGTATCGCCATCCCTCTCATTCATCATTTCTCCGCTGAGCGGTAATCAAGTCGCAGCCAACCAGCATCCTCAGCCTCATCAGGGACCACCATCGCCTGCAACGAAGTTGTGCAGCTTGGTTCTTCCCTACGGCCTCACCAGCGTCTAGGCACAGCACTTCTGCACACGGTTCTGAAGGACATCTCCTCCCGTCAACGCAGACGCCAGCCACTACGCACCTACCCTCGCAGCATCTATTCCCCGACTCACCGTGGGACACTGCGAACTCATCTCTCCGACTCACTGGAGTATCGCCCTGCACCGCTCACCCGACTCACTGGGCACTCAGCGGCACAGTTCCGACTCACTGGAACTAGGGACTTTCTACACTGGCTCTGGCACCGCACATCTCAAGCATCGACAGCCGTCTCAGCGGGATCGACCTTCGGTCTTGGGAGGGAGTGATGTGGCGACACATGGTACATTCTAACGGATGACGTCATAAAAATCCTACATCGCACATGCGAAGTTTACATTGGATTTAACACGGATAGAAAATCCCAACGAACAACTGTTGGGCAGAAAGCCCGCCAGGCACGATCACCTCGCCTGGTCGGAGGATCCTCCTTTTCCGATCTTAGGGAACTATACTCTCTGTTCCCTAAAGTGGTGACCCCGACGTGATTGGAAGTAATCTTCACTTAACGGAGCAGATCAGCACCGTCATCCGTATCGCCATCCCTCTCATTCATCATTTCTCCGCTGAGCGGTAATCAAGTCGCAGCCAACCAGCATCCTCAGCCTCATCAGGGACCACCATCGCCTGCAACGAAGTTGTGCAGCTTGGTTCTTCCCTACGGCCTCACCAGCGTCTAGGCACAGCACTTCTGCACACGGTTCTGAAGGACATCTCCTCCCGTCAACGCAGACGCCAGCCACTACGCACCTACCCTCGCAGCATCTCTTCCCCGACTCACCGTGGGACACTGCGAACTCATCTCTCCGACTCACTGCACCGCTCACCCGACTCACTGGGCACTCAGCAGCACAGTTCCGACTCACTGGAACAGGGACCTTCTACACTGGTTCTGGCACCGCTCATTTCAAGCATCGACAGCCGTCTCAGCGGGATCGACCTCCGGTCTTGGGAGGGAGTGATGTGGCGCCACATGTCACAAGTCAACGGATGACATCATAAAATCCTACATCGCACATGCGAAGTTTGCATTCGATTTAACACGGATAGAAAAATCCCAACGAGCAACTGTAGAGCAGAAAGCCCGCCAGGCACGATCACCTCGCCTGGTCGGAGGATCCTTCTTTTCCGATCTTAGGGATCTATACTCTCTGTTCCCTACAAGGTCGCCATCGCCGATCACTTCCCTGAGGGCACGGCGGTGCTCAGCCCACGCAGACTCACTGAGGTTAGAAGTCGGTGCCATAAGCTCATATTATAATGATAAAAGTTAATGGCCACCAAATTGTAAATTAGGGTTACACCAAGCGGTCACCGGTGACCGCAACCTATTGTTCTATAATTGTGTCTATAATGACGGTACTCGACGAGTTAAGGTTTTAATGAATAATTTTGCATAGAACTTATTTATTTAGTCATTATATTATGTTTAGAAGATCTATTCTATTCATGTAACATCATCTCAATATTTTAAATGCTGATCAGTCCAAATTAACTTCAGTTATTGTAAACAAACTTACAAATTAGGTACAAGTCTTCTATTCAAAATCAATGCTTCTTGCACATATGTACCTAAATATAATTAGTACCTACATAAGCGGATTTAGTGCTAAAGGCAGTGTAATAATTGGTTTGGTTGGGTGGTGCAGAGAGATACTTATGGTCAATATTAATTTCAGCATCAATAGTGGAGATGCAGACGCGCACAGCGCTGATGGCGCTAGCCGCGCTTGGAGCGCTGGCGGCGGCGGCGGCGACAGCGGTGGCAGCGGAGCGAGGCAGCGGCATCAAGGTCGGCGGGGGAGGCGTGGGCGTAGGCGCGCGAGACGCAGGCCGCGGCGGCGGAGTACGCCTCGGCGTCGATGGACTTCGTCGGCCACGCACCTCGCCTGTTCCACCCCCGCCTCGTGCACCTTCCTCCATAACAGCAGCGCTTGTCGTGCCACATAAAGCCTTTGGCACTCGTGATTACACTAAGGCCGAGAAGGCAGCGCTATCGAAATTGCCGCGTAAACTGAAACTCTTCTCACATGTGCGCCTAAATATTACGCTTTCTACTCAAGGCTTGACGCCTAGTCCTATGTGTAAGTGAACGTATTTCAATGCATTTGAATTATAGCCTAGAATTTCATATCTTTCTGAAAAATCATTTACAAACACTGTCATTAACTCTACTAAACTAATTCCTGAACGCTTTCAGCTATCCTGGATTCGCTATGTAAAGAATTTCTAGCAGTCAATGTGTCTGCTATCCTCTATCTTATGAATCATGAACAATATGGGCGCTCTACTGCCTCTGCACAGTATTTTCTACAACTCGCCGGCTATCTTGGCATACCGGTAAACATTTTGTCTATGCATTCTTTGATACCGAATCATGCTTTTAATTAACTTAAGTATCGATTTTTAAGATATATTAATGCTAGTTGTTTTTCTCATAGGTTATAGCCTGGAACGCAGATAACAGCGGTCTTGAAAAACGAGCGTCGCATGCATCGTTACGTTTGCAACTCGCTCCCTCTATAGAACATCAAACATCGGCCATGCTGTCGATACTAGAAAGATACAAATGGCATCAGTTTAGTGTTGTGACATCAGCAATAGCAGGCCATGACGATTTTATACAGGCCGTACGCGAAAGAGTTACGGCCCTTCAAGTACGTAATCATAAAAATAGAAACTTTATCCATCCCTACTAATATATTTGTGATTTGTTTTTAACTGCATGTTTATGCAGGATTAGCTTTCCTCTCATGGTTTCCCACGTGTTGTGTTATAAAAATATGTAGCGCAGTAAGATAGATAAAGCCGTAATATATGTAGTTATACAAAAGCGATTCATTACTGCCCCATGGACCACTGTATCTGGGTAATAAAAAAAAGACCGGATCAAAATCTGTTGCATATATAGTTTAAGATCTAAGCATACTTAGGAGCAGACAGCTGAAAGCGATGTTGTTTTAGTATAAAACAACGTTGCTTTTAGCTGTATATATGTACCTAGTATGACAATTTAAACCTACGTAGATAGATACCTTGATACGAATTAACTAATTACATCCTACTACTACTACTACTACTACTACAACTAAGAATTATTGGTGTTCAAGTTTATTATAAACATCATCGTCACTGTATTTTTATTTTGTTTGCAGGATCGATTTAAGTTTACAATATTGAATGCAATCGTAGTGAAACGGTCTTCGGACCTAAACGAGCTAGTTACAAGTGAGGCGCGCGTTATGCTGTTGTACGCGACGCGTGAAGAAGCCGCCGACATTTTGTCGGCCGCAGGTGACCTGCACCTCACTGGCGAGAATTTTGTATGGATTGTCACACAAAGTGTTCTTGGTTCCATGCAACAACCGAATAAATTCCCTGTAGGAATGCTAGGTACGTATACCTAGATTTGCCTACCTAACATCTTATTAAAAGTATTTCAAGAAGGTATAAATGTAACAAACAAAAACCCAGTAGCAACCGACAGCAAAATAGCCGAACCCGAACAACATAACTACCATCTCTACACTCTGTTGTATATGGCAAAATAAAATAAAATTAGTATCAATTGTTATAGATGCTCGTTTTTGGTAGTTTGTGCTATTCATACATACCTAAGTCATTATATTTTTGATTCTAGGCGTTCATTTTGATACGTCAAGTTCATCGCTGATTGCCGAGATAGCGACAGCAGTAAAGGTATTTGCGTACGGAGTGGAATCTTATGTTTCGGAACCTGAGAACATACGATATCCGCTGGGAACACGGCTATCGTGCAGCGGCGCGGGTGCAGGCGAGGCGCGCTGGTCCACAGGGGAAAGGTTCTACCGACACCTGCGGAACGTCAGTGTCGAGGGTGAGGCGGGCCGGCCGAGCATTGAGTTCACACCCGATGGAGAACTAAAAGCGGCCGAATTAAAAATTATGAATCTACGACCCGCCTTAGGAGAACAGGTAAAATATTATATTTTATCCACATAGCTACAGTCAGCTACATTGTCGTCTTGTGCAAAATATTATAATTTTTTACTTAATTTATAGTTGGTATGGGAGGAAATCGGTACGTGGAATTCTTATCCACGGGAAAGGTTGATTATTAAAGACATAGTATGGCCAGGAGGTTTGCACACTCCACCTCAAGGTGTGCCAGAGAAGTTTCACATGCGAATAACATTCTTGGAGGAACCGCCCTACATCAACCTGGCGCCACCGGACCCTGTCAGCGGGCGGTGTTCGCTGGACCGCGGCGTCATTTGTCGCGTGGCGCCCGAAGTCGAAGTAGCTGGGTAAGCAATATCGTCTAATATACGTCAATATCTTTATTAATTTGACCGCTACTTATACTACAGCGTGGCAACAAGTACAGCAAAAAACATCGAAGCAGTAGTACATATTAGTTACCTACATATTATTATTCCGTTCAATCATTACGTTACGTGAGCCTATTTTGACGCATTTTATTTTAAGTCTTTTTCTTAAAAAAAAGGTCTTTCAAAACTTATTTTAACTCTGTTGGATAATTTTTTTATTTTAAACTAGCTTCTGCCAGCGGCTTCGCCCGCGTTTCCAGGGGTAAAAAAGTAGCCTGTGTATTACTTCAGACTTAATTTATCTCAGTTCCAAGTAGTCAAGTAATGATGTAGTGATGATAAAATCACTTCGTAAATAACCATTGATAGTAAAGGATAAAGAATGGTTATGGTGGGTTATCCCTAATAGCGTATATCATATATGTATATAGCATATATCATCGCGGACTTTTTTGTTGAACTTTTTAAGGTGGTCAATATTGTAGTACATTATTTTGGTTGGTCTATCTCGTAGGGTTCAACCAGCGTTTGCAATATAGGCGCAAAAAAACGTAATGATTTACGACATCACATTAGAAACCTCTAAGTTTATTAGTGTTTCTCTACTATATTATGCATGTATTACACATAAAACTTCCTTAAGAATCACTCCATCTATTAAAAAAAACCGCATCAAAATCCGTTGCGTAGTTTCAAAGATTTAAGCATATCAAGGGACAGAGAAAGCGACTTTATTTTATACTATGTAAGTAGTGATATAGTCTATGTTCAACAGGGATAATGTAGGATTGTAACGGTAAAAGAATTTTTAAATCAGCCCGGTAGTTTCTGAGCTTATCCAATTCAATTCAAACAAATATCATCAGCAAACAAACGGCATGCCGTTTACAGTACTGCATTGTGTTTTATAAAAATCTTTACTACGCCGTAGCACACAGCGTAGAACATTGCGTTACTCGTAGAGTCGTATTCGTAGCGAACATTTTGAGTACGCCGTAGCTATGATAGCAGAAGATTGTAGTTCGCTACGTATGTAGTTCTATCTATAGCTCATAGTTTGCTACGACGTAGCTCTGTAGCTCGTAGTTCACTACGTCGTAGCTCGGATGCTTGTAGCTCAGTTCCTCGTAGTTCACTACGTCGTTGTAGCAGCCCACATTGAAATGCTAGTGATTTCAACGATGGCAATGGGCATGCGTTCAAGTGATCGTGTCAAATTCAAATTGATTTATTTGCAAACATACAGCCTAAAAGTCATTGTATTCTCCCTGCAATCAAGCGTGCAAAATATTAACATTCCAAATGAAAGTCACCACAACCGTCGCATCTAACAATGCATTGTTACTAGGAACCAAATATGATACTAAATTCTTCTTTACATTTAGTTTGGAAGCTGGAGCGGCTCATGGTAACAGTTCACTGTATCAGTGCTGTAGTGGGTTCTGTATAGACTTACTGCAGCAATTAGCCGAGCAACTCGGCTTCACTTACGAGCTCGTTCGAGTCGAAGACGGTCGTTGGGGTACTTTGCATAACGGCAAGTGGAATGGCCTCATTGCAGACTTGGTCAATAAAAAAACTGACATGGTAAGTAAATTAGTTGTTTGTTCAACAATATAAACAACAGCACAAGCATATCTATCACCTGTACAAACTACCGTAATTTACAATTTAAATTTTAGGTCCTAACATCGCTCATTATAAATTCGGACAGAGAAGCGGTTGTGGATTTCAGTGTACCATTTATGGAAACTGGTGTCGCAATTGTAGTAGCCAAGCGAACAGGCATCATATCGCCGACAGCGTTCCTGGAGCCATTCGACACGGCGTCTTGGATGCTCGTGGGAGCGGTCGCTATACAAGCGGCTACTTTCTCCATCTTCTTCTTTGAGTGGTTGTCGCCAAGTGGATTTGATTGCTCAACTGGCAATAATTCTAAACGTGTGCCGCAAAATCGCTTTTCTTTATGTCGGACTTACTGGATCGTTTGGGCTGTTCTGTTTCAGGTACGATACGATAAGATATTAAGGGTATTGATGTACCCGTGTACGAATGACGTGAGATATAAATTGTATTACTGATATGAAACATGAAATTGTTTATTTCAGGCGTCAGTACATGTAGACTCACCTCGAGGTTTCACCGCCCGTTTCATGACCAACATGTGGGCTATGTTCGCGGTAGTATTTCTTGCGATATATACTGCCAATCTAGCTGCATTCATGATCACGCGAGAGGAATATCACGAGTTGAGTGGATTAGATGATCCACGAATAGCGAGGCCACTCACTCAGCGACCCCCATTGAAGTTTGGAACGGTACCATGGTCACATACTGATGCCACCCTTGCCAAATATTTTACAGAACCACATGCCTACATGGCTCGGTAAGATTTTCTTCAAATTAAAGAATATTTTAAATTTGTTGATTAGACAACGTGAGTGAATTATGTATGAAATAACATTGCTGTCATGTTTTATATTTACAGATATAATAGGAGTACAGTAAGTGCAGGCGTCACATGTGTTCTAACAGGTGAACTCGATGCCTTCATTTACGATGGCACCGTATTAGATTATTTAGTTTCTCAAGTAAGTTGAAACAATAATTTTGAATCAAGTTAGGTGTCATCAAATAGTAATATTTATATATATAATTCTTCTGTGAGTGTATATGTCACTGAACTTCACTCAAACGACTGGACCGATTTTGGTGTATTTTTTGTGTGTGTTCAAGGGGATCTGGGAATGGTTTAGATTCACAAATCAGCCCGCTGCAATCGATGTTTAGGTTATTTATCCTAAACAGCTGAACTAATTTGAATTAATTTTTTTTATACATTCAATTGGATATGCAGGACAACGTCTGTTGGGTCCCCTAGTTTATTATAAAACATTTGTTCAGTAGCATCCTTATCTTTAATTATGAATACGTAATTTTGTTTTCTATTCAGACAAAGTGTGTCAACAGAACTATTTTTCAGGATGAAGACTGCAGGCTGTTAACAGTAGGTGCATGGTATGCAATGTCCGGTTATGGATTAGCGTTTACACGTAATTCTAAATATGTCAGTATGTTTAATAAACGACTACTCGACTTACGAGCCAATGGTGATCTGGAAAGATTACGTAGGTGGGTTGATTACATACCTACTTAAATGTTAATTTGCGTGAAATTTTTAGATGCCTTTTATTCTGTTAGAGTGTATGTTACTGTTAATACTGTTTGTCTTAGGTACTGGATGACGGGGACGTGTAAACCTAATAAGCAAGAACACAAGTCGTCCGACCCTCTGGCGTTGGAACAATTTTTGTCCGCATTCTTATTGTTGATGGCGGGCATTCTGCTCGCAGCACTATTGCTGCTGCTCGAGCACGTGTACTTTCGATACCTGCGTTCACATCTCGCCGCGTCCAGTGCGGGCTCGTGTTGCGCGCTAGTGTCTCTATCAATGGGTACCTATCATTTTTATTACGCAAATTATACACATAAAGATATTAGTTTTATACGTATATTTTTTTTTACGTAATATATTTTCTCCCAGGTCAATCCCTTACATTTCACGGCGCCGTCGTAGAGGCGGCGGCGCGTGGTTTTGGAGAAAGGAGTCACTGCCGTTCTGCAGTTTGTGCTGCACAGGTAGCCGACCACTGAAGACTATCTTTTTAACATAATACTACTGTCCAATAACATTATGCTTGTAATAAAACCAATAAGTACTAAGAAATTATTCAATTTCAGCCGTGATTTTCTCACGGCAAGGGGAAAGGCACTCTTCTTTGCAAAAAGTCTTTGTTTTTTGCTTTTTATTGCTAACGCAATTTTTGTTGGTATTTGTAAAGGTATGGCGAGCTCGACACGAGCGTGACATGGCGGTGGCGCGCGCCCGTCAATTGGCGGCGGCGCTGGCGGCGCACGGGCTGGCTGCGCCGCCACGTCGTTTAGCATCAGCGGGTGCTCTCCTGGCGGTGGGCCGTCACGACGCCACACATGTGCGCACGCTGCGACCGCCTGCCGATCTGCTGCCCGACCTCGATAGACCGCTCTCTTGCGGCGATTTACGCTCAAGGTACTTCCTAATTGAAACTTTATTTGAACGACTAGTGAAGTTATAGAAACTACTTAGAATCGAGTAGAAAAAACAAAAAAGTGTTAATGACTACTTATGGTTTTTTTCAGAGAGCGGACGCGAGTAGAAATGGAAACAGTGCTGTGAGGCGTGTATAGCGCCACCCTATTTCAATTCCTGAAGGCTGTTCTTACACCAAGTTATACAAAACGAAATTAGTTATACCTAATGTTAAAATATGGACAGATAAAAAAAGCGTTGTAATTATTAAATAAACTTACAATTATTAAAACAGAGAGCTGGACGTAGATAGCGAAGCGTTGTTGTGGGACCCGCGCGCGGCGCAGGCTGGGCGCCGGGCGCGTGCCCCCGTGTTGTCTACTACAATAAAATATATTTTTTGGACAATATAAAGCGTTTTAATTCTCATATCAAACAAATATGATTTTTATCGCGATAGAGCTACAGGCACCGAATTGTCGACACACCTATGTATTTGCTAATGTTGATCGAAGTATGTATTAGTTTGTGGCGACACATGTCAAAATTACAGCATGAGAGCTCAAACAAATCAACGGATGACGTCACAAAATCCTACATCGCACATATGCAAAGTTTACAAGCGAATTAACACGGATAGAAAATCCCAACGAACAACTGTTGGGCAGAAAGCCCGCCAGGCACGATCACCTCGCCTGGTCGGAGGATCCTCGTTTTCCGGTCTTAGGGAACTATACTCTCTGTTCCCTAAAAGTTCAGTCATTACGTAGTTCTACCTGGAATGATGTCCGGGAGCTTTGATAATTTGGCAATATTGTATATTTTAATCTACTCTTTCTGATTTCCACTTTGCACCCTCGTACGTGCACCGCCATCTTGGAACAATGGCGGGTAAAAACAGGCTTTTCGCCATTACTCTTGTCTTGTGCATTTTAGGAGAAAAACTTTAACTACAAAATTAAACTACTCGCTTTACTGTACTACCCTACCCTACCCTACACTTTTTATACTCTTTGTACCAGACTTTAAGAAAATGACAGATATCCTTTTTGTCAATGTATGTATCTCTATGCACCGTATGTATCACGCAGGAGCGTGCAAGTCTATAGTAGCCAGGTGCCACAGTCACTGTTTCAAGAGACAGTGTCCGCTTTTTTTTCAACGTCCTTTTTTATATGCACAACTCCTAAACACTGTAGGTAGGTACAAGTGAACACCATGAGACCAGAGGCAAGTATTGTACATGTACTGTGGTGTAAATGCGGAAATCTGAATAGTCCGGTTTCACACCAACTAATCGTTCAAACTAAACGTTTGAAATTAGGTGCACATGTGCTTTGTTGATTTTGACAGTCCTTTTTTGTTAATTTATGCTTGCCCACTTTGGGGGCCTCTGTGGTCCGGAGGCCGCGTATAATTGGTACTATGTACTCTAACTGTAAGACTCTACAGTGAACCTTTTTATAATAAACCAAAATGTGAACATGAACGTTGAAAAAAAATGCTGACGTTGACATTGACATCATCTTCAATTTGACAATGACATGACACATGATGTGACATAACACCAGGCGCGCCGGTACGGTAATACACCAATGACTATTGAAAATTCTAATAGACTCAGCAGTCTGGATCATAGACTATACAATATATACTGAGATAGATGCGTATCTATGCTTTTAATACATTAATGACACTATCCGCCCAGAAGATGGAGCTGATCACAATTGTTTAGTACCCCGCGAATGCACTAGATGGCGTACCGTGTGGAATTTAGTTCCACCTTAATTTTACTGTTTCTTTATAAACAAAACAAATTGACCGTGCTCAAAAATTTTATGCATGAGCACAATTAGGTCAATTTGTTTTGTATATCATTGTTATTGGGTTACTTAAAAAAAACAACTAATATTAAATACATCATTTTTTATTCTTTTTACGCTTTTCAAAATAATTGTAGGCTTTTTCTTTTATATGGTCATCCTTATCAAAATAAGTAATTTTACCATTTAAAATTCTATTCACGTTTGTACACCAACTATGGATAATCAATTTAATCGAGAGATCATTAATGAATTCAATCAACTGAGATTTGTGTAAATCACAAGTAATCATGCTATAATCACATGCACAATTTAACAAGAATTTTATTTTGTCTTTTAAACGAACTGATTCGGGTGATATACGTAAGCATGCAACGATCAAATAATATATTTCATTCATTAGTTCATTGAAGTTTTCATTAGGATAAAATAAAGATTTCTTTGTATAATCAATTTCGTAATTAAACGATTGCTTATCAATATCAGAGCTACAAAAATCACGCATGCATGTGCCACAATTTCTAAAAACTTTTGATTTACATTTTTTGATAACAAATCCAGTTACATATTTTTTTGATTCAGCATGCAGTACATTATTAACACTATTTTTAATGTTAGCCATCACCGTTATCAACGAATCAACTTCGCATGCAAAATCATCATTTGAAGAAATATGTGCAGGTGTATTTATTAAATGAATTAGAGATTGAAATAAACAATTATTATCTTTTTCACAATTCGCATTTGGTGAATGTATTGAATTAAAATTATTAATAATCAACGTCTTATAGGCATTTATAAATTGATTGCATGTTGGATTGGTATTTCTGATTCCATTGCTTCTAATACTACTGAAAAAATTTTCTAAAGGATCTTGATTGAAATTTCTTGTTAGTAAACTGTTTACATTGTGATTGGTATTCAAATCAACCCACATTTCTTTAAACGTTTTAATATTATGAATCCAATTCTTGATTGAGGGAATTGATTCAAACTTATCTACATTACCTAGATGATTATTATGCGTATTTGATTGAAATTTTATTGATTCTAATACAGGCAGTAAATCATTCCATAGTTGTATGTGCAGTGAATTATTCTTAAAACATGATTTATATTTTTTCGTCGAAGTTTGATAAGAATGACCATTAAATGAATCAAATAATTGATCAAAAATTAATAAAAAATCAGCTGTTTGTTGGCATTCTACAGGAAGTATCGCATGCCCTGAAACAAAATAAATTGCAATTAATACACATATAAATTGCCAATACAGTAAAAGTTAGATTTTTTATATATATAAGTAAGGAATTAATTGATGTACTTACTAGCTAAAAATCGGAGTGCTGCAGACACTCTCTGGCTGAAAACTTGTGCAGCATGTTTCACCTTCATTTTTGGCATTTTACTTTCGATTACATGGCTTTCAGTCATTTTATTGCATAATCTTATTTCGTCATCGCCTGTATCTACATTTAAAAGCATAAGTAAATGTTCCCATTTTGCCCACTTAACCTCACCATTTTGCATGAATTTGGCGTCTTTTTTCAATAAATTATTTCTGACGCCTTTTAATAGGTGAGGCGTGTCAAATAACGGATAAACTCTGATATTATCTACTTCAAATGCGCCAGACTTGTACTCCTCTCCAGCCTTTAAATATTTTTCTTTGGTTTCTGCTTGCAGCATCTTTATAACTTTTGTGTTGGTAGTAGCTTGGTCACATATTGTTGCTACTACCGTTAGTCCTATTTCAGAGAGCTGCAATATGCATTGTTTTAATAAATCTTTTAAGTCTGGCGCTTTTGTTGAGCCTGTACAAAATGTGTAGCAAATGGGTTGTTTATATTTGCTTTTTATGCTTTTAATCATGAATACAAGGGCGTGATCAGCTAGAGATTGCCTGCACATGGTCCCCAGATCTTCGAATCCAATAATTTTACCCAATCTAATATTGTATTCAAGACCTGGAGCCAAAGAAACCTCATCGAACAACAAATTAATTAATTTGCTCTCATTGTTCAAATTTTTTATACCATTTTTTAAATTTTCTATTATAATATTATTTATGCCTGGCACAATTGCCACTGCACTAAGCATTTTTTGAATAGACCTCTTCGAAGGCAAAACAAACATATTTTGCAGAAGCCTATAAGCTTTTGGGCTTTGCTTATATATAGTTAAAGCCATTATTTTTTCTTTTTCTGAAAATCTTCTACCTTTTGGTTTTTTTGAACCTTTAATTTGCAACAATGTGAAAATACGCGAGGTTTCCGGCAACTTTTCAGTAAATTTCAAAAATGACTCCTTCATTGATATTTGTTGAGCACATTGCATAAGTGTTTTTTGTTTTTTATACTTTGCTCTGAGTTTTTCGATACTGTTTTTGAGGCGTATTATAGTTCTTTTAGTTGTAATGTCCATTGCTTTTTTCTTCGTATCTGAAAATTGAAATTATTTATTTAGAAATCAGACAGTTTCATTGTGTCGGTAAAGATTGGGGAGCAATATTGTACATTGGTACAATTTTCTTTTTTAGTCTTTTTTGGAGATATTAGAGCTTTTTTGCTAGATAATTGTATCTAGCAATATCTCCAAAAAAGACATACTTACACAATTTACGACTAAATCTAACTTAATAACAAAACAATATACTGAATGAAGATGAGAAATTTTACTTAAAAAAAAAAACCAATTAAACAAACTACAAATTCAGGTGCACAAATAACACCGTGATCTAAAATATTTTTTCTTTGGATCATACAACGCGATGGTCCGGGCGGGAATTGAACCCGCTACATATTGCTTAGCAACCGGTTGCCTAACAACTGCGCCAACGTTGCAGTCAGGTTGCATGAACACATAACTAAAAAAGTTTTAGTGCTTACTTATATAAGACATTGATCTCTTTATTTCTTGTGTGCTGGAGATTGGTGTTGGTTCTGTAATGAATAAAAAACAAAATCATTAAAAAAGAACTTAGAACGAATAATTGCTTAAAATTTTATATTCTGACGTTTTTATGAAATATTATGATTAACACTTCCAATGTTCTTTAAATTAGACTATATTTATTGTGATGGTAATTACATCATGAGAAAATGAATGCATTTTATTCACAATTTTTATTCTCCGGAGGAATAGGCAGAGGTCCCACTTTATGTTTTAAGTATGTTTTTATGATTTTTTTAATAAATTAAACAAGGGGTTTCTTATTTATATTCTTGTTACGCGATTTCTACTGCGTACGCTGTCTGCGTGACTTAAAACTAGTCGTATTTCTCAATCATTTCATAACTCACAATTTGTACTAAATAAGTACCTTTTTTTGAAAACCGTTGCTCCACACTAGAATTTTATCCTGTGTCGTGGGTGCATTTACAAACATTCAAATTCACATTCACATGACACTCGGACCCGGAACAACAATTTGTGGATCACACAAAGAATTGTTCCGTGCGAGAATCGAACTCGCGACACGCTGCGCTGCAGCCCAGCCACTGCACCAACCATGCCGTCAAAAGTGCTGTATTTGTTACAAAAGTCAAATCAATAAGTTTAAAAGGCTTACTTTTAAAAGTTGTTTTTTTTTGTTATTAGTATTATCTCATACTCAACTATCTTTTACGAAATCAATTATACCCTATATGATATCTAGTAATATAATATATTAAGCACTTATTTAACCATACTTACCAACACAATCGGATAAAACATCTGTCAGATTAGATGGGCCAGGTGTAGGGTCCAAATATATGTCATCTGCTGTGCTCATGGGATTAAGATCTGTAATTTAGAAAAAAAATCAAAAATTACTATTGACTCATAGGGTAAATTACTGTGATGACTGAGTCTTATACAGATTCGGCTGAATGTCAGTATTTTATGTAGAACGACTGCCACTTGACGATTATAATCTGCTAATTGTGGATTCTGCACATTTTTTAACAGGCTCATTATCATATGTATGTGAATTATGACAACCATCTATACATATGGATAGAATACAATAAATTTATTTATTTGCAATGAATGTACAAATTATTAAATGTTACGAAGTTTTAAGGATCCTTGTACATTAGACCTAGTTATTTATAAAATCTACCTCATAGTTGGTAGTCGCAAGTGAGAAATTTGAGTTCAAACATCAGATCGGGCACTTAGTAATTTTGATTTTTTTTAATTCTCAATAGTAGCATGCGGTCTGAAATTACGCTATGTGTGAGGTTACTTCATGTAACATGAAACTCATAATAACATAACAAAGCAGCTGAAAGCTGGTTGTTTAAAGGTAGGTAAAATAATGTGTGTCTATCTACCTATTTAGATATTAAAGCGTGAAACGGTGCTGTAATTTTTATAAATGAATATAACTTTTTACCCTTACCTAAAAATAATGTTGGTACAGCATTTTGTGTCAAATAATGAGAAGGTAATCGGTAGCTTTCATTAAAATGTCGGCCACAAATTCTGATCTTCTTACAGATATAATCATCCCCTTTTTCTTGATCAGCTGGTTTAAGAACAGATTTCCATTTTTTGAATCTCTCAATCTTTTCCAATTTCAATGAATTTGGATTTGGAAATTTGTGTATAGGATCTGAAAAATGTAAACAATACTGATTATAAAATGTACATAGTACAAAGTTATCTCGGGGCCACCATATATTTTATATTAATAAAATAAATAAATAAAATAAAATATATTTACACTAATAAAATATATCCAAATGTAAAGCAGCTTGTAAAACAATTATAATAATAGGCCCGTGCCTATTTTAACCCCATTGGATGGGAGAAATGCAGATCATAAACGGAAAGAATAATAATAATATGTAAATAATAATATTTTAAATATAATTTTTTATTTTGTAAGTAGTATATAAAAATGACATTTATAGAGAATTTTAAATAAATATATGGAAATATTAATAACCATAGTTCCCAATTTACCCTCCCACAGCAAGTATTTACATGTAATTATAAATTATACGATATATTTATACATATCTTAATTATAGGTATTATTATATTTGTGTTAATTGTACCTATGTAGTTTATGTACTATTATGAATTTTAGTTAGGTATCTAGAATGTAGATAATTACATATTTTTTGTTATATAAGAAATATTATTTTCATTCTAAACATTACCTTTTTATTTTTAATTTTTAGAGTTTTTAGAGAATTTTTAGAGGTTTACTTAATGTCAATTTATTAAAATGTTGCATTTTTCTCAAAACTGTGTTGTTTTAAATTTAAAATTAAAGTTTGTTTTTCTGACTTCGGTATGACTAACAAGTCGTTACCTTATTAGAAATGGATTTATAAAGCTTATTAAGTGAAGCAGCACTCCTGAACATTATTTATTACACACGGAACGAATGATATAGAATAGAACAACTTGAAGACAAATTGTCTTCAAGTTACACCGTTACATAATAAAATTAGCAGACAATGAAAAATCTGCTAGTTAAAATTAAGTCAGTAATTCATTACTGACTATTCAAAGTAAGATAAATAGCTACTAAGCTGCTTGATGCAGCAACCCTTGAGTTTGGTTTAAATTTGAAATTCCATGCATGGAATTTATGTTAGAATTAATCAAAATTGGGTACAAGTAATAAAATAAAGTTCCAAAATAAAATTATAAAATAATCTAAATAATAATTAATACAAAATGGATGAAGCTTTACTAAATAACATTGCTTTTACTGTATGTATGTACTGAATATAGTACTAATTATTGTTAATTGTAAATACTATATAAAATGATTTATCAAATTATAATTTAACAGAAAACTAGCGACCCGCCCCGGCTTCGCACGGGTGCAGTATACATATATTATACATATAAAACTACCTTAAGAATCACCCTATCCATTAAAAAAACCGCATAATATTTGCGTAGTTTTAAAGATCTAAGCATACTTAGGAACAGACATTTTATTATTTAACAGAAATTAACCTAGGGTAACTATTAAATGAGTTGATCTCGATTCAATCATCCTCTGTCCAATGTATAATGTGCACAGTCCAAAGTACATCTGGTTTGTCCTGGGACAGATTTTCATCATAATTGATTTTCTTGACAAGCATGCATAGTAGATAAGTTTAACAAGAGCAATTACTGTTTTAAAATTAAAATACAAACAAACTGTTTAGGTAGAGTAGATTCCTTACATTATGTTAGTGGTAGCATTGGTATCATAAAAGGGTATTCAAATCAACCCACATTTCTTTAAACGTTTTAATATTATGAATCCAATTCTTGATTGAGGGAATTGATTCAAACTTATCTACATTACCTAGATGATTATTATGCGTATTTGATTGAAATTTTATTGATTCTAATACAGGCAGTAAATCATTCCATAGTTGTATGTGCAGTGAATTATTCTTAAAACATGATTTATATTTTTTCGTCGAAGTTTGATAAGAATGACCATTAAATGAATCAAATAATTGATCAAAAATTAATAAAAAATCAGCTGTTTGTTGGCATTCTACAGGAAGTATCGCATGCCCTGAAACAAAATAAATTGCAATTAATACACATATAAATTGCCAATACAGTAAAAGTTAGATTTTTTATATATATAAGTAAGGAATTAATTGATGTACTTACTAGCTAAAAATCGGAGTGCTGCAGACACTCTCTGGCTGAAAACTTGTGCAGCATGTTTCACCTTCATTTTTGGCATTTTACTTTCGATTACATGGCTTTCAGTCATTTTATTGCATAATCTTATTTCGTCATCGCCTGTATCTACATTTAAAAGCATAAGTAAATGTTCCCATTTTGCCCACTTAACCTCACCATTTTGCATGAATTTGGCGTCTTTTTTCAATAAATTATTTCTGACGCCTTTTAATAGGTGAGGCGTGTCAAATAACGGATAAACTCTGATATTATCTACTTCAAATGCGCCAGACTTGTACTCCTCTCCAGCCTTTAAATATTTTTCTTTGGTTTCTGCTTGCAGCATCTTTATAACTTTTGTGTTGGTAGTAGCTTGGTCACATATTGTTGCTACTACCGTTAGTCCTATTTCAGAGAGCTGCAATATGCATTGTTTTAATAAATCTTTTAAGTCTGGCGCTTTTGTTGAGCCTGTACAAAATGTGTAGCAAATGGGTTGTTTATATTTGCTTTTTATGCTTTTAATCATGAATACAAGGGCGTGATCAGCTAGAGATTGCCTGCACATGGTCCCCAGATCTTCGAATCCAATAATTTTACCCAATCTAATATTGTATTCAAGACCTGGAGCCAAAGAAACCTCATCGAACAACAAATTAATTAATTTGCTCTCATTGTTCAAATTTTTTATACCATTTTTTAAATTTTCTATTATAATATTATTTATGCCTGGCACAATTGCCACTGCACTAAGCATTTTTTGAATAGACCTCTTCGAAGGCAAAACAAACATATTTTGCAGAAGCCTATAAGCTTTTGGGCTTTGCTTATATATAGTTAAAGCCATTATTTTTTCTTTTTCTGAAAATCTTCTACCTTTTGGTTTTTTTGAACCTTTAATTTGCAACAATGTGAAAATACGCGAGGTTTCCGGCAACTTTTCAGTAAATTTCAAAAATGACTCCTTCATTGATATTTGTTGAGCACATTGCATAAGTGTTTTTTGTTTTTTATACTTTGCTCTGAGTTTTTCGATACTGTTTTTGAGGCGTATTATAGTTCTTTTAGTTGTAATGTCCATTGCTTTTTTCTTCGTATCTGAAAATTGAAATTATTTATTTAGAAATCAGACAGTTTCATTGTGTCGGTAAAGATTGGGGAGCAATATTGTACATTGGTACAATTTTCTTTTTTAGTCTTTTTTGGAGATATTAGAGCTTTTTTGCTAGATAATTGTATCTAGCAATATCTCCAAAAAAGACATACTTACACAATTTACGACTAAATCTAACTTAATAACAAAACAATATACTGAATGAAGATGAGAAATTTTACTTAAAAAAAAAAACCAATTAAACAAACTACAAATTCAGGTGCACAAATAACACCGTGATCTAAAATATTTTTTCTTTGGATCATACAACGCGATGGTCCGGGCGGGAATTGAACCCGCTACATATTGCTTAGCAACCGGTTGCCTAACAACTGCGCCAACGTTGCAGTCAGGTTGCATGAACACATAACTAAAAAAGTTTTAGTGCTTACTTATATAAGACATTGATCTCTTTATTTCTTGTGTGCTGGAGATTGGTGTTGGTTCTGTAATGAATAAAAAACAAAATCATTAAAAAAGAACTTAGAACGAATAATTGCTTAAAATTTTATATTCTGACGTTTTTATGAAATATTATGATTAACACTTCCAATGTTCTTTAAATTAGACTATATTTATTGTGATGGTAATTACATCATGAGAAAATGAATGCATTTTATTCACAATTTTTATTCTCCGGAGGAATAGGCAGAGGTCCCACTTTATGTTTTAAGTATGTTTTTATGATTTTTTTAATAAATTAAACAAGGGGTTTCTTATTTATATTCTTGTTACGCGATTTCTACTGCGTACGCTGTCTGCGTGACTTAAAACTAGTCGTATTTCTCAATCATTTCATAACTCACAATTTGTACTAAATAAGTACCTTTTTTTGAAAACCGTTGCTCCACACTAGAATTTTATCCTGTGTCGTGGGTGCATTTACAAACATTCAAATTCACATTCACATGACACTCGGACCCGGAACAACAATTTGTGGATCACACAAAGAATTGTTCCGTGCGAGAATCGAACTCGCGACACGCTGCGCTGCAGCCCAGCCACTGCACCAACCATGCCGTCAAAAGTGCTGTATTTGTTACAAAAGTCAAATCAATAAGTTTAAAAGGCTTACTTTTAAAAGTTGTTTTTTTTTGTTATTAGTATTATCTCATACTCAACTATCTTTTACGAAATCAATTATACCCTATATGATATCTAGTAATATAATATATTAAGCACTTATTTAACCATACTTACCAACACAATCGGATAAAACATCTGTCAGATTAGATGGGCCAGGTGTAGGGTCCAAATATATGTCATCTGCTGTGCTCATGGGATTAAGATCTGTAATTTAGAAAAAAAATCAAAAATTACTATTGACTCATAGGGTAAATTACTGTGATGACTGAGTCTTATACAGATTCGGCTGAATGTCAGTATTTTATGTAGAACGACTGCCACTTGACGATTATAATCTGCTAATTGTGGATTCTGCACATTTTTTAACAGGCTCATTATCATATGTATGTGAATTATGACAACCATCTATACATATGGATAGAATACAATAAATTTATTTATTTGCAATGAATGTACAAATTATTAAATGTTACGAAGTTTTAAGGATCCTTGTACATTAGACCTAGTTATTTATAAAATCTACCTCATAGTTGGTAGTCGCAAGTGAGAAATTTGAGTTCAAACATCAGATCGGGCACTTAGTAATTTTGATTTTTTTTAATTCTCAATAGTAGCATGCGGTCTGAAATTACGCTATGTGTGAGGTTACTTCATGTAACATGAAACTCATAATAACATAACAAAGCAGCTGAAAGCTGGTTGTTTAAAGGTAGGTAAAATAATGTGTGTCTATCTACCTATTTAGATATTAAAGCGTGAAACGGTGCTGTAATTTTTATAAATGAATATAACTTTTTACCCTTACCTAAAAATAATGTTGGTACAGCATTTTGTGTCAAATAATGAGAAGGTAATCGGTAGCTTTCATTAAAATGTCGGCCACAAATTCTGATCTTCTTACAGATATAATCATCCCCTTTTTCTTGATCAGCTGGTTTAAGAACAGATTTCCATTTTTTGAATCTCTCAATCTTTTCCAATTTCAATGAATTTGGATTTGGAAATTTGTGTATAGGATCTGAAAAATGTAAACAATACTGATTATAAAATGTACATAGTACAAAGTTATCTCGGGGCCACCATATATTTTATATTAATAAAATAAATAAATAAAATAAAATATATTTACACTAATAAAATATATCCAAATGTAAAGCAGCTTGTAAAACAATTATAATAATAGGCCCGTGCCTATTTTAACCCCATTGGATGGGAGAAATGCAGATCATAAACGGAAAGAATAATAATAATATGTAAATAATAATATTTTAAATATAATTTTTTATTTTGTAAGTAGTATATAAAAATGACATTTATAGAGAATTTTAAATAAATATATGGAAATATTAATAACCATAGTTCCCAATTTACCCTCCCACAGCAAGTATTTACATGTAATTATAAATTATACGATATATTTATACATATCTTAATTATAGGTATTATTATATTTGTGTTAATTGTACCTATGTAGTTTATGTACTATTATGAATTTTAGTTAGGTATCTAGAATGTAGATAATTACATATTTTTTGTTATATAAGAAATATTATTTTCATTCTAAACATTACCTTTTTATTTTTAATTTTTAGAGTTTTTAGAGAATTTTTAGAGGTTTACTTAATGTCAATTTATTAAAATGTTGCATTTTTCTCAAAACTGTGTTGTTTTAAATTTAAAATTAAAGTTTGTTTTTCTGACTTCGGTATGACTAACAAGTCGTTACCTTATTAGAAATGGATTTATAAAGCTTATTAAGTGAAGCAGCACTCCTGAACATTATTTATTACACACGGAACGAATGATATAGAATAGAACAACTTGAAGACAAATTGTCTTCAAGTTACACCGTTACATAATAAAATTAGCAGACAATGAAAAATCTGCTAGTTAAAATTAAGTCAGTAATTCATTACTGACTATTCAAAGTAAGATAAATAGCTACTAAGCTGCTTGATGCAGCAACCCTTGAGTTTGGTTTAAATTTGAAATTCCATGCATGGAATTTATGTTAGAATTAATCAAAATTGGGTACAAGTAATAAAATAAAGTTCCAAAATAAAATTATAAAATAATCTAAATAATAATTAATACAAAATGGATGAAGCTTTACTAAATAACATTGCTTTTACTGTATGTATGTACTGAATATAGTACTAATTATTGTTAATTGTAAATACTATATAAAATGATTTATCAAATTATAATTTAACAGAAAACTAGCGACCCGCCCCGGCTTCGCACGGGTGCAGTATACATATATTATACATATAAAACTACCTTAAGAATCACCCTATCCATTAAAAAAACCGCATAATATTTGCGTAGTTTTAAAGATCTAAGCATACTTAGGAACAGACATTTTATTATTTAACAGAAATTAACCTAGGGTAACTATTAAATGAGTTGATCTCGATTCAATCATCCTCTGTCCAATGTATAATGTGCACAGTCCAAAGTACATCTGGTTTGTCCTGGGACAGATTTTCATCATAATTGATTTTCTTGACAAGCATGCATAGTAGATAAGTTTAACAAGAGCAATTACTGTTTTAAAATTAAAATACAAACAAACTGTTTAGGTAGAGTAGATTCCTTACATTATGTTAGTGGTAGCATTGGTATCATAAAATTCTTTAAACAAATATAATATCTTAGCGATATTGCAAAAAGGTCTTACCATTATCATTATAGGAACATCCAAAATAACACTTCACATATGTTTTTTGTGACATTCTGTTTTGAAAGCCGAATCGAGAAGGATTAATCAGAAGTCCGTTGTCGTAGCCAAGTCAGACGTAAACGCAGCAAACAAAGTCCAAATACACAGAATCAAGTCACGAAAATAATACGGGTCTCAGAAAGTTCAGATTAACAAAGCCAAGTCGTAGAAAATAAAAACGGGAACACAGTAGTAACAGGAATTCAAACAGCGCAAAAACAATAATGGCGGCAGAAAAGTTTCTTAAGGTAATTCCTAGTATTGCCATGTAAATTGAATATGGTTTTATATTTGAAGTTTATATCAAGGTAATATAATGTATTGTATTATTGATTATTTACATTGAATAAAATATGTTTCTTTTTTTTATTAATATTAAATACTTTGAATCACTAAAAATTTCATACAGATCTAAATTTATATAACGACATGGATATATGCTGCCATCTTGTGACACCATATAATAACTTGACTCAAAGTTTCTTCTGGATATCCAGAAGATGGCATTACTTTCTTCGTAACTTTTTGAAACCAATTTTGTAGGAGAGATTCATGGGCCTGGTCTGGATTGCAGTCGGTTCTATTGTACATTAGAATTTTATAATAATCGTCATGTCTAAAGATATTATTGTTCTTACGCCCAATGGAAGGAGGCAAAAAGTTCATTGTACGCCTGATACAATTATTTTACAGGTAAGGAGTTCCATTTTATATGTATTACAAAAATAACTTGAACTAGATACCTACCTAGTTCTTATTAATGATAATAATTATTATATTTGATATTTGATTATGTCTATATTAAACATTAAACATAGATAAACAAACATAATGTATAAGATTCATATGAAATTTGTAGATGTTGCTGATGATAAGCTTTCTTACTATGTACTTTGACAGCAATTTATGAGTTAATTTATGACTACTTATTAGTACAATGTAGGTATACTTTACAAGAATCACCTTATTTATCTTGTTGAGTACCGTCATTATAGACACAATTAAAGAACAATAGGTTGCGGTCACCGGTGACTGCTTGGTGTTTGACAGTTTAAGTCTCTACATAAATACTAAGATACTTATGGAACAAATTAAGAAGCTAAAAAGAATATTTGTTATTACTGTCTTATAAGCACTGGAACTATTGGACATTTCCTACAATCTTGAAAACATAACTAATACTAATAATCAGAACCAAGAATTGTGCAGTGTGCATATTTCTTAAAGAAACATGTCTATTTATCACATTACAGATTCTTATAATCCGTTTCCAACATGTAAGTGGATTATAAAAAAAATCAGATTTATTTTCTTTTCATCATTTTTTTACCCCACAAATGTTTTGGTCATAGTAAATACCAGATATTGCATACAACTAGCCTTGCCTTCTTACTTTATCCCATTTGAATCATTTCTCTATGTCTGTCTGTCAGAGAGATGTCAGTCTACAATTTGCTAAGAGTTTTCAATAAAACAATGTTCTGATATAATTTAGACTACTGTTTAATCCCTGGGACGGAAACATGGCAAGATTTTGCTGTGGTGGGGATAAAGTAATGCATTGTGTATTTTCTCATTATTTTATGGTTATTTTTTCTAATTTGATACTTTTATCATACCTAAGCACTTTGTAAATAAACATAATAATAAAAAAAATATTTTCTGTTGAAAGTTAAAGAGAGAAATAATGAGAAAGTATGTTGAATTACCTAAATAAAATTGAGACTTTTTATTGCTACAAGAAGTTCTAACTTTATTGCAGGTATTGGAAGATGTCTGCCATAAGCAAGGTTTTCAACCTTCAGACTATGATTTAAAGCACCATAATCATGTTTTGGATTTAACTACTACTATTCGATTTTCAAATCTTCCCAATAAAGCTATGTTAGAAATGGTGGAAGTAGAAAGGAAAAGACAAGAATCGAATGTCACTATTGGATTACAATTGGAAGATGGTAATCATCTATTACATTTTAGTAAATTCAAATAGGTGTTCTGAATTCCACCTATGACACTTTGCTTTTATTTGTATTTTTTACCCAAAGATGTAAATGTAAATGTAGTATTTTTCTGTGACAGGTGAAAGAAGAACAGCAGATTTTTCACCCAACACATCTTTATATGACTTAGTGATATCTCTGGCACCAGGAGAACTGAATTCTTTGGAACACCCTACAATTATGTATATGCGACAAGAAGTTGTTGGTGAAAATGCTCTTCGAGAAAAAACTTTACGACAATTAGGCTTAATTAGAGGTAGAGCAATCCTCAGATTGCTAAACAAACAAACAGAGGCAAGGTACGACATACAATTATTACTTACAGTCCCAGTAGACCTTTTATCGCCTTTTAATGTGCCATTTATCAAGTTAATTGTAGCTTAAAACAGAAGGTTCCAAACATTGAGTTTAATTACCATAATGTGAAATAGATTTTTCAAGTATGCAGTAGTAAAACCTGTACTCCTATTAAAAAATTTACATTTTGTTTATAGACAAGCTAATGTTTCTGCATTTTACCGCCGGCCAGTTTCTGAGCATAAAGAAACAGATGAAAAAAATATAGTTAAGAAAGCAAAAGAACAAAAGACAGATGAACCACCTTCAGGATCTTCAGACATGCATAAGCTCAATATAGATCAATATCATAAGCCTGATATTATAGATAAAGTTAAGGAAAGCATTCAGCAGGAAAATAAAAAGAAAGAAATCAAAGTTAAGGAACAGGAAAGTTCATCAGGAGAACAAGTAACGGGTATTAACATTGATAAAGAGGAATTGATGGATGTTGATGTAAAAAAGAGTAATTTATCATTTTCTTCCCAATCAAGAGAATATTTGGAAAGACGGCTCAAAATTGAAGAAGAAGTTACATTTGTGAGTTGATTATTTAGCAATATTTTCTTATGATGTAGGTACAGAATTCATCCCTCTATTTATAATCTAATTTTCTATTCAAATTTAATCGAAATGTGACGAATTTGCGATAGCAAGATATTGTCGTGGTGGGGGTAAGTTCACTTTTAACACAAATACATTTTTTTTTATTCCTAGATTAGGTCATTTATTTCTAAGATATGATTAAAACAAAACGCAATAGATATTACCTACTTGGTCTTTAACGCAAACGCATTCGAGTACCCAGTTAATATTTTTTAATATTAAAGAGAACAAACAGCTGACACAGATAGATATGTATAATAATAAAATGATGTGTTGTTTGCCTCGATATTAATTAATGTATTGTTATGACTTATGAGTTACGAAGGAACAGGAATTCTAAGAGATGAATTAAATCCGGTTGATTTGATGGGATACATTAAATGTAATACATATGCAAAAAATCAGGACAATCAGTATTATGTAGACTAGCATGTCATATCAACTCTATAATATTAAATTGGTGATAAAAAAAATATTGCAGACAATCAGCCACACCCAGTAATTAAACTCGAAACTTCAGCTAAATAATTCGGCTGTTACACCAGTCGAATTATTCAGCTTCATTGCGTCCATTCGACATTCGTCCATGCAGTTTTATTTTTATTTTAGATAGGAGCACAGAAAGCTATAGCTTTTATGCAACCAGATTCTATTGAAGAGGAAATTGAAGACCTGCCTGATGACTTTTATGAATTAACTGTTGATGAAGTGCGAAGACTGTATCATGATCTACAACAACATCGAATTTCCTTAGAAAACACTCCACTTGTATCTTCAACAAAACAGAAGGAGCTTGAGGAACAGGTAAACCCAAAAGATTATTTTTCGTGTGATGAAAACGATTGTTTTATTTTTTTTTATTATAAAACATGTTGTAGGCATCTCTACAAAAACTAAATGTGTACAAGAATGTTGTGGTGCGTATCCAGTTCCCAGATCAAATTATTCTACAAGGAGTCTTTACCCCTATGAACACGATCGAAGATGTTACAGAATTTATTAAAGGCCATTTACGAAATCCAAGCAAAGAATTTCACATATGTAAGTATTTTGTGAGTTTGTTACAGGGCGACTTGGTATTATTTGAGCATAATTCTCTTACGGGGTTATAAAACATCTGTTCTAACCATTCGGGTAGAAGTTGTGACATTGACCTTTAGTTATATAATCTTCATTATTTTACTACCTACCTAAAGTTAGATTTTTTTGTAAAAAGTACACATTAAGTGTCATAGCAAATTTTTATTTTAGTGAAGCATATTAATTCTGATACAAAACTGAAAAATATTATTTGGTCTTTGAATTAGGGATCTCTGTCTGTAATAAAAAAAATTACTTACAGCCCTTGTTTTCGTTTTCAGTTTTAGAGTTGCCGTACATTTGGAGTTAAAAGTTAATATTTTACTGATTGTTCATTTCTACCTACCCATCTGTTTGATAACCCCGGACGAAATCTCGTTTAATCATGCTCTATGCTCTAATAACAAGTCACCTTGTATATTTAAGGGTTATCCATGAAATAATTACAGTCTTTTCAAATTCACAGTTGTAACTCCTCTAAAAGAAACACTTGATCCCAAAATGACATTATTAGATGCGAAATTTGTACCTTGTGTACATATGCATTTTAAGTGGATAAAAGAAGACATGGCAAAACAACCATATCTAAAAGATGAAATATATCAAAAGAGAACTGCTTCTGATGCAGCCAGCATTTTAGCTTCAAAATATAGGTAAGCTGATTTCTTGTCCTACTTACATAAATAAATTCGGAATTTGATGGATGACTACTGTCCTGGGCCATCACATCGAAAAAAAATCAATGAAAATTGATTCATCTTTGTGCTGTGTTGGGCAAATAACTACTGATTACCAAATACGATAATTTTTATTTATTTACACACATACAACACAAAGGACAATACATATATAAAAACAGAGTACATAGAATATTTAAAATAGTAATCATGATTACAGTTAAAAACATTTAGATTAATTTGTAGTTACCTATAGTTACGATTGCGAAATTTCTTTTCATAACTACCTACACATTAAGGATGTTTCTTCAAAAAACTCTAACTTTTATTAACAAATCATTATCTTCCCGCGTTGTTAAGCATCGCAGTAACTTATTAGCATCTGTATTTTATTGCATTGGGTGGGTGGCTCAATTTTTTGAAACTAAACTTTGTTTTTCAATCAGCAGAATTGTTAACTGTGGCTTAAGGATAATGACGCCGTTTATTTTTTGGTTTTTTTCTTTGGAGAATCACCCTTAAAATAATATTGCGTTTTAAAAAAAACCTAAAGCGCCTCACGGAGGTAGCTAAAATATTATATTTTTACATGTACTTATAGCTCATTTGAATGATTACCCCAATTGACTATTTTTATTTTAGTTGATTCGTAAATTATTCAAATTGAGTTGAAGTTGTGAAACCCACAGTGTGTGGTGGTAGTGGTGACCGCTCTTCACTAACTACATTATAGACCTTATTTCCAATGTTTAGAGACTACTTTTGTATGAAATAATTTAGTTTACCTAATTAATTTAGGTTTAACTAACTACGCCCAACATTCTCCTTATGCCACAGATTACAGACACTTCAAACTTATAACATCCTTCTTTTTATCGTAGTTTAACCATAATTAATCGTACACACGTCTGCCGTGTATCGGAATACACGTCATTTTAATGCCTTTTTCTTCATCGAAGTACTTTCCCCGACACACAATCCTAGTTTTGTCACAAATAGAAATTAATATTAATCCTTAAAATTGTATTCATTTTAGAGCCACTGCAAGAAGGAAACCAGATGATGCACCAAGCACATCAAAAGTACCTTCTGCATCGACATCAAAAGGCAACAAAATGCCAAAATGGTTTAAGAACTGAAGATATAATGTCCCAAAATAATAGACAAAATGATATCAGATAGTATCTGCTATTTATTTTTGGAATCACACCGATGCACAACTTTATAACTATCTAAATGGAAAAATTGCTAATTGGAAGCTACATGTATATTCTTAGCATTTCATAATTAATTTTCAATATTTTGTTGTAAATATTATATACCTTTACACAACTATCAAAAATACGAAATAAAACGAACATGATTCAAGTTAATTTTATTTATTTGTAACGAAACCCATTACAATTAGGTAAAAAATACAACAGTTAGAATTAGATCATACATTAAGAAATCAAAACTTATTTCACAGCAGTAATAGTAAATTCAAATGTTTTAATTAGTTTTAATCCCTACTACATGAGATGGGTGGAGGCCAATTAATAGTTTAGCCTTTTGAACGCCAATGTCGGCTATAGCCGACATGAGCAAGCGTGCCCTGTGCGCCAACGACGGCTATACTCGACAAAAAACAGGTCGCAGAAAAATACAAAATAAACCTATTAAATCATTACTTTTATGTATTTTATTGATACACCTTTAAGATTTTCGGGCTTGGCGTACAGGGCATAGGAATACCGATAAGGCGTGGCGGTGAAAAGGTTAGTCAATAGTGGATGCATTTTCATAAGTATCTCAGGTGTGGAACCATATTATTATATTATGTTAAGGACTATGAAATACGCTTTAGTTCCTCAATATAAACTGCCAATAATGCACAAAGAGGACCAAAAGAATAACCAAACTACAACTTATCTATTCTTATTATAAAAAATTACTTTCACAATATTTTGGGAATATAATGTTAGAACAGTAAGTGCCTTTTCACACGTTCCGGTTGCCGGGTATCCGCCGCCAGGTACCCGCGGTGTATACAAATAACACCTACCGTACATGGTCATACACTGCGCAACCGGGTACCCTGCGCCGGCAACCGGAACGTGCAAAAAAGCACTTATCGGTCAACACTTTATACATAATTCTGGGATATTTTTTCCTCTGCCGGTCAAAGTTCTTCGTTTGACCAGCCACTTAAAGAAAATAATAATATTTGGAGAATCATAGTTGTATGAATGAGGGTAAGGTCCCTAATTTGCACCTGGTGGGTTTTATAATTTCACATGTTTCAATAGAATCCTTGTTGCTTTTATTTTCTTCATAATATCTATGTTCAGAGTAACTCTCACATTTTTCTTGTAATACTTTGCTGCGGTTTATATATTTTGTTTTCTCGTCGACATTTTGTACTATAATATTTTTATTTTGTTCTAATTTACTGGTACCGTTATGATCAACCTTTATTTTTGAACATTTCTTCTTTCTCAAAGTTGAAATGGTTTTATTATGTCTCTCTAAAGGCAAATATACATGGCGTTGTAAACACGTGTTACCTTTCTCACAATATCCCTTTACAAAATCAGAACAAATCTTTGCCTTTTCATTCAATTTAACATGTAAATAAGGGCACTCTGTTTTTGTGCAGGTCCCTTGTAAATAAAAATAGCAGGTGGGCATTTTCTTACTGGTTAAATCATGAGATAAAAGGCAGTCCTTATCATGACAAATACCTTTTATAAATTTTCGGCAAACAGAAACATGTTTCTTATCGTGAAGAAATTCGCAAGAACCACGTGCATTTCTTAAACATTTTCCAAATTTACGGAATAATGGACATGGTACATTATTTTTCTTTAAATTTCCTTTTATTACTCTTTTAATCCTTGATTGGACCGCATGATTTGATTTATAAATCATTTTCTGAATTTCTGTATGTATAATTGATTTTTGAAGTTTTGAAGAACTAACATTGCTATAGTTGACTATTTTGAAGACATTCTTTGTTCGACTGCTTTGTGGTATCTGAAAATTTGCTTCAAAATTGGATACAGAGGTCGGATAGCTGGCACTTTTATCTTTATCTAATTTTTTTTTTACATCTTTCAACGAAACCGTTTTATACTTATTCAGTTTAAAAGTAATTTTAGGCTTCTCCATTCTTGGGTCGTTAGGTGATTTATTGTTTAAGTTTTGTCTAACTAAAGAATAACGAGATTGGGTCACAGGAGCCTCAAAATCTTTTGTTGTTTTGTCTGCAATTTGTTGGTGATATGTGGTATATGAGTCTTCAGTGAAAGTGTGTATATGAGGTTGAACTTCTTTTGTGTTGTAAGTTAATTGGTAGTTAGTACTACTACTTACACTTTTATATTTTATGAAATTGGGGTTTATATATATTTTGTTCTTATTTTGAATATTGCACTGAGCACTTGGCACAAGATGGGAAAATTTTGGATTGACATGTAGACTTCCATTACTGGAACCATTATTTGTGTGAGACCTATTGAAATTAGGATTTATATAAACTTTATTTTTACTATTGTCTTGGTTATTCATGTTGTTTTTCTTTATTGTCTATTATACCAATGAGTATTGAAAGTACTTGTTCCCACTTTTACAATTGATTGTATCAATTAACACTGTACTTAAATCTTTTTCGATCTCCTGCAACAGTAGATCATTTAATGTGTCAATAATGGTGTCGAATTCAGATTTTTTATTACCATTTGTCCACAAAAGGCTCATATGGAATGACGGGTCCTGAAAACAGAAGCGAGCATTATTTTTGATATTGTTTTAACCAGCTACTGGGACCTGCACTGGTTGCATTATAATATTGACTCATCTATTATAGAAATTTCATACATACCTCGTAAAATGTTGGCAATTGAAATTCAATCATAACATCATCCACCTTTTTTGACACATTTAGTAAATTTTTATGACTGAAGGGATCCACATCAAGAGATATGAATGTTCTCGACTGGTCCTCGTTGCAATATACTTTGACTGCACCAAACCCTATATCAAAACTGAAACAAGTCAGTTATTACCAAACCACATTCCTGAATAATTTATTAAAATATAAAGTATAATCATAACTAATCTACAAATAAGCAACATTTTGTTGAAAGCCGCCTACTATACCACAATAAACATTGGCTGGATATTAATATACCCACATTGTTATAAAATTATTACAATTGACGAGAGATGGAAAGTGTGACGAGGATACTGAAAGGAGAGTGAAAGTAGGAAATAGTGTTAATGGTGCCTTACACTCTGTAATGTCGAGTAAAATAATATCCAGCAAAGCTCGACTTGCTGTATTGCAGTGTGTATTGACAGTTGACACCAACGCTCATGTATGGTAGTGAATCATGGATTGAAACATGATGTCGTGAGAAGGATGTTGAAAAGGGAATGTTACGATGGTTTGGACATATAGAAAGGATGGATAAAAGTAGAGTAACGAAAGCAGTATACAGAGCGGATATGAATGGGGCCGTCGGTAGAGGGCGCCCTAGACGGACATGTACTGACCAGATTGGCGATATATTAAAGCGAGCAGCATGAAAAGATTGATGACTGTTGATGAAGCAAAAGAGGTATGTGGGAATCGTAGTAATTGCCGTTCTATAGTCTGCCTACCCCCATGAGAGACAGGCGTGAAGTTATGTATGTTTTTATTACAAAATGGTCTTAAGGGTTTATAAAGCTTGAGAACGTAATGTAACCCTCCCTAATGTTTCAATAAGTGACAAAATTGCATTAATTAAAGAAAGAAGCCAATGGTGATGATGAAGAAGTTTTACAGATTCCTTATTCCTTTGTAGATAGCAAAAATCTTCCTCTTTTGAAGAATATTTTAAAACAATGACATAGATGAAATAAAAATAAAAAGAAAACATCATAGTGACACACACACCTTTCAACAGTGCTGAGAACTTTCTGAAGTGACGAACTGAATGTTGATATTAAATGATACTTTAGAACAAATGTTTTTGACAAACTAATATGTAAATCATCACAGCGATGAAATGTGTCCACTTTAGTTAGAATAACCTTCTCAATTTTTCTTAATAGATTGAAAACAACTTCTGTTTGGTGATGATCTAAAAAATATAAAGAATAATATAGAATAGAAAGTATTTTTTAATTAGAAAAGAGAATCAATTAAAATAGTATATGTGTACATAGTTTATCATATCAATCAATTGTTTTTGATCAAACCATCACCAAGTAAAAAATAAATCATGACTAGTTATTGTATAGTAACCAGACATGGTCTCTTTGTATGATCTTTTTGCAGATTCAAGTCTGTTTATTTATATTGGTTTTTAAATAAATTCACTTCATGCTCTTAGAAAATCTTGTAGGTTTGGTGAGTTGGCATGTAATTCTCATAAATCTAATTCCGAATGTGCATTATATTATCTTAAGAGATTAATCTCTTTAGTGTAATTCCTAATCTGTTACAAAAGTTAATCTGTTGCAAACAAAAGGTTAACCTTTTGAACGCCAGAGCAAAAGCACATGAACCTGCCCTCAATGCCAAGCCACAAATCCGTACAAATTTCTATGAAAGAAATAGAGATTCCAATATGGAATCAAGCTGTTGATTTCTTCTTACTGGTTCTGCTTTTCTGTCATATATATATTTGTGTTGTTGGCATCCAGGGACTGTTTTCCCTTGTCACATTTGTGACATTGGCGCTCAAAAGGTTAAACACCTCTTTCAATAACAAAACAAAACAAGTAGTAAGTAATTCACATGCACCACTTATACAAAATTGTTAATTTGTTATATGCTACAGAAAAGCATATTTGATACTTCTTACATAAAATCTATTAACTATGTTGCTCATAAATTATTTTAATCCATGCTGGTTTTTTTCGGCACCGTCTGGTAATTTTGCACAACTTTAATTTCACTTACAATTTACATAAACAAATGTAGCCCAGTTTCCTCTCACATGTGGAAATGACCGCAACCTGCCCCCATGAAGCAGTGGATCATCAAAGTGAGTATCACTCGGTACAACAGCTACTTTGCTCAAATCAGGTGCGGGTAGCTTAGGTCTGAAATATTTGTTGTTTTAGAATAGAAACTAAAATAAATTACTAGTTGTTAAAACACTTATGAATAGTTCAATTTGTTAATTCTATACCTCCTATTGGTTCCATGGGCTATTGTGTCAGTATCACTATCATCCGAATTAGATCCATATTCTTCACATATGTAAGATAATGATGACATTAGTTTCTTTACAAAACTATCAGCTGTTTTAGAAGTACCTATTAATCTGCTTGAAAATTACCTACCTATACAACATCAGGTATACCTACACTTCTTTACAACGAAGTAAACAAAAGTTAAAAACCACTATAAGTACGTAGAATTATCGTAAGGTTATAACAAAATGTTGGAACGCACAATATGTATATGAATACTGATTTATTCTGCCTACATTAATCAAAATTTAGACTAATTCCGTTCTTTACGAAACGAAAATAATATTACTATTACTACAACAACGACAATAAGCCTAGTGTCAACTGTCAAGTGTCAAAATTAGAAATTAATTTTCCATAGATCCCGTATGAATACAAGCTGATAGTACGGGAGCTAGCAACGTTTGGAAAGTAAGAATTTTAGGTCAGCTGATTTTGTGATATGTCGTCCTTCTTGCACTTTCGGTTAGAGTCTGGGCTATCTGGCTGGCGGTAGCGGTTGCGTTCTTTAGTGCGCATCCTACCTGTCCAGGTAATAATCCTGGATTTTAAAAACATTTTAGAAGTCGTAATTTTTATTTTTTGTTTTTAAATAAGTCTACCTGAAAT